AAGGGGTTGAAGCACAAGAGAAGTGCTTTGGTGGAGAGGTTGCTGGAAGTTTTGATGCCTGCACTGTGATTCCAGTTGAGGTTGAATCTGGTGGTGAGGGTTGAAGGGGGCTGATGGGGAGTTGAGTGGAAAAGGTGACAATGGTAGGAAGACGGAACTTCCTTCCCGCTGCCGCTGAAATAGAGAAAACGCCCAAAGAATTCAGATAAAATATAATCGAAATGGCAAAACAGCGCAGCAATCTAGCAGACTCCTCAAGTCAGATCCCTCCCATCAACAACAGGAAACTCCGCAACATGCAACTTAGCCGCCCCATACGGCACAAGCCTTACCCTCGTCCTCTCCCCCACAACCCTCACCGCCTTCCCAACCGGCGTCTCCCCCACAACTCCACTCCCCTCCTCCCCTTCTACCGGCCACTCAATCTCCCAAGCATCCACCCACATCACACACGGCGTCTTCTCTCTACTCCACACCGGACTCGCTAGTATTTCATCGCCGTCGCACCATGCATCCTCCGCTTCTAGAGTTGAAGGGTCGATGGCGTATTTCCACAGCGAGGTGGGCGAGAGGTCGTGGTCGAAGGTCTGTGTCGTGGTTTCTGAGATGGGAAGGGGTTGGAAAGTCTTCCAGTCGAGCGCGGGTCGCGGGGTGCTGGTGTAGGCGGGGGAGAGGGCGAAGAGGAGGGCGCCGCGGTAGATTGATACTGTGCCATTGCGAGGGACGATGCGGGGAATGGCGGCGAGTTGGAGTGTTAGGGAGGTCAGGGTGGGGGAGCCGGGGATGTGGAGGGTGTGGAGGCCCGCTGGTGTGGGGTGGATGGGTGAGGGTGGTGAGTCGGCAAGGCTGAAGGTTGACTTGTCGAGGAATGTCCAGTCGGGGATGCGGATGGAGAAGGTCAGGTCGGTGGGTGTGGTTATGGAGTATTTTAGGAGGCCGGAGAAGGGGTAGTTCGTGGTGCAGATAATTTCGACGGGTTTGCCGGAGATTGATGTTGTCAAATTAGTGGGACCAAGGAGTGCATGGACGATTCCGCCTTTCTTATCAAAAACGTAGGAGGAGGTGACATATTTTGGGTATGCTTGTGGGTGGTTGACCGTGCAGCAGGGGTAGTCTGGTTCGAGGCTGTACGTATTGCCGTATTCGTTGACATCGTTGAATGGGGACTTGTCGAGTTTCTTTGACCATGGCTGATGAAATCATGCTTGTCAACCCGCGGTATCGATGTTCATACCATTGAAATACACCTCGAAGAAAGAGAAGCAAGAGCAGTGGCGGTAAAAGAGCGATGAAAGGCAAAATGAAAGCCGGGAGACCTACTTGATTCGTCTGTATCACATACGTATGAGACCACCAGTCCGGGCTGATAGCTGCAGGCAAAGCATTGAACGCAGCAGCCTCCGCTTTATCTGCATAGTCATTGAAGCCCTGATAGCGATGAAGCCAAGCCATAGAGTAGATCATCTCAACAGACATACACGTCTCTGACCCCCTCTGCGCCGAGAGACCACCAAGGTGCTCGTCCGCAATGACGGTCCCGGATCTCGAGGAGTGATATTTGTAGGTCATATCTACTGCGTTGCGAGTTTGATCGGCTAAGAATTCCTCCTGGGTCATACGATGGAGGAGAGAGGGATATCTCAGTCCTTCAATGAGATTTACACCGTGGGTAAAGATGTTGGTTTTGATATCGGGTGTTCCAAGCTTCGGAAAGGCTTCGGTGGTGAAGAAGGCGGTCCAGTCTCCATGACTCTTTCTTCCGCCTTCAAACATCAGTTCCATCGTCTTCCAGATAGTGTGGCTGTTGTCCCGCGGATGGCTCTCGTACAGCCATTGCAGAGACATAACCAGCTCGTGAGTCCTAGCATTCCCAAAGCCTCCACGGTCGAACACATCTCCGGGTTGCTGGATCAAGCCTTCGAAGTCGCGCTCCAACATCGCATGTACGAGGATGGTGAATCTGTGCATTGCGGTCACGATTCGCTCAGTCTCCGCAGGTTCGGCTTCCGCATATTGGACCAGGCCGAAGCACAACAGACTGCGAGCCCATATCCCTCTCGTGGCTTTCGTCGTCTCCGGGCCGAGCCAGCCATCCTCCGCTTGGGCTTCAAGGACATAGTCCAGGAAAGATTTTGCCTGTGCCTTGAGTCGAGCATCATCCAAAGTCCAGGCAAGTGGGACAATGTAGTTGAACCAGTAGGGCGCGGCTTCATTCAAAGGACTGTACTCCCAGTCCCCTCCGAGCCACGAAGAGCGCTGAATGTAGCGATAGAAATCATACATGTGCCCGCCGAGGCCATCTGCGCAGAGCTGGAGCTGGTTTCGGAGCCACCCGGATGCTTTGATGGAGCCAACGTGGAATGTGTCGTACTTGAAGGGGGCAAGCTCTGTTATCCGCTTAGTGCAGTCGCAGCAGCAGACGGAAGAACTCACTTTCAGACTTGTCGCTGCTATTAGGAGGGTACGACTCCATTGTCACATAGATATTGCCGAAGCGGCAGGGGAGTTGGAAGAGCTTCCAGATCAACGAAGCGAGATTAGGAGAAAAAGGCGAGAGAGCAGGAATCGCAAGCTACAGACTCATTTGAGCGACACAGAAATTACATGCGCGACAATAGATGAAGGGTTCCGTCGTTCTGATGGAGCTTCGACGAGCAATGCGCAGAGGTTCGTGGGTGCGGGAAGATCGTCGTCGGCAAGCGATCTTGGTGCTGGAGACGGCCCATAACCAGATTTAGGAACAGGCAAAGAGATTTGTCTGAATAAACCAGTCCCGCCTTCGCTTCAGTTCGAAACGCCATGAAGTTCGGGGTTGTGGGTAATCAGAGAAGTCTTATCGATTTAAGCTCCTAATTGTGCTTTCGGAGTTAGCAGCCCGAGGGATGAGAGACGCATATTGTCGGAGTCTTTGGGGTAATAGTTGCCAAGCTCCAAGGATACTGCGTGCTCACGTTGGGAGTGCAATAACGCAGTGAAAAAGGCGAGGTCTTTGAGAGACCAAAGATGTGAAGATTGTCATGTAAAGTGTGGTGTGGCCGTCTAGGAGTGCCAAATGCCGGAGATGGAATATATGAGACGGAACGTGCAGGAGATAGATGAATGGGGAGGATCGCTACGTTACTCACAACTACGGACTGACCGGTTGGCCATAGAGCCGTATGCAAATCTCGACAACCGCGACAAGCCTACCTCGACTTGCCTTGGAAGCCTTCGGTGTGCCGAATTTCCTTCTTCTCCTACCAACTGGCTTCCAGCAGGCATGGACTTTTCCTTTCTGAACTCCATCAGATTGAACCCCGCGTTCGGATATCAGGATTATTTTCGGTCTGATAACGAAATGTGTCAGAGACTAATCACGTGACTGCTTAGTCAGGAGTCATGTGATCTGGAGCATATATTCCATCTCCGGCATTTGGCACTCCTAGATGGACGGATCACAGACACATCACAATCTTCACATCTTTGGTCTCTCAAAGACCTCGCCTTTTTCACTGCGTGATCACGTTGGGAGTGCAATAACGCAGTGGAAAAAGTGAGGTCTTTGAGAGAGCAAAGATGTGAAGATTGTCACTGTAAAGTGTGAAAAGTGTGTTGTAACTATCTAGAAGTGCCAAATGCCGGAGATGGAATATATGCTCCAGATCACATGATGCCTGATTAAGCACTCACGTGACTAGTCTCCGACAAAATGCCTTGTGCACGCCCACCGTATCGGGAGGTACAAGTAGTCATGAATCTCAAAGAAAAATTACTCTTCACCCGCTTGGCAAATTTCCTCCGAGCAGCTTCCAATCTCCAAAGAGTCAACTTCTTCTCCGGTTTTCTTTTCTCCACGGGGTACCATCACCACGATCAAGCTTTTCACTTCCTCACTGAGCCTCTGGCAGCTCTCAAGCTCAAAGAGTTGTCCCTCTATGGGTTTTGTCTAGCGGAACATCATCTTGACAGTATCATAAGAAATGCAGCCCCTACGCTTAAGAAACTCAAACTCCACAACATCCGCATCCGCTCTGTGGGGTGGTACCAATCTTAATGACCATTCAGTCACACACAAACCTGAGCAATCTTTACCTCTCGGATTTGTGGATGGGATCTCCGTGGCATGAGGAGCCGGTTCATGCACTCTTCTGGCATGAAACTGGCCGGACCCGAGCTACGGAGATGCATCAAGTGGCAGAAGTACTACCTGCTGCAATACGTGGGCTTCAAATAGCCGCGGATGACGGAGAAGTCCTGTGGGAGTTTGGGGATAGTTGAGCAGCTCAATGACCACAATTTTCCGGGTCATGCCAGTTCCACATCCATTTCTCATCCCCAATGCTCGTTCCCAATGCCCATTTTCAGCTTCCATACACAAAATTAAGCCTCAATGGCTGCACGTCTTCATTGTTTGCTCCAATAAGTCCCAACTCGGGATGGAAATGATAATTTCTTCTTAATAAACCATCAAATCTAGACATTTCCATGCTTTACCCTAGCCAAGAGAATCCGTTGATCAACCGTAGATGCACCCTGCCGCGTGATCCGCTCAAGTAAAGTCATGAAGCGGCTACAAGCTGCACGTTTGACCGGATCGCAAGCCGAAATAGTTCCGACAAACATCACCACCGGATTTTCTCTAACATGCATACACCAAACAACTACCCAGACCATCGTCTTCCTAAAGTCTCTGGCCCTCAATTCGACGCCACAGTCAAAACTTCAACCACATCCAAAAATGCCATTCCCGCCCCCACCAAACTTTTCCCATCTACCCACCCAGTCTTAGTAATCCTGACCAACCCTTCGACACACCCCTTCCAACTCCCCCACACGTATTGCTTCCCCAATCGACTCTCAGCCATGCTCTCTCTATCCACCACCAATCTTACTAATCCTGACCAACTCTCCCTACCCTACAGCAACCATCGCACATCACTTTCCCAATCCACTCGGCCGCCATCGTCGTTAGTCCCTTCATAATCCTGACAGACCATTCTCTCTTCAACAGACAAGAAAGGTCTTCGATGGTCTAACGGTATGATATCCGCTTGTCAAGTCGCTTCGACGACACGGTGCGCGGGTGACCGGGGTTCGACTCCCCGTCGAAGAGAAAGTATCATCTTTTTTTTGCTGTATTGTTGGATTGTTTGAGGACGGAATGAATTGGCTGTTGGTACTTCAAAAGACGGCTGTTTCTCTCTTTTCAAACATTTTTACCGAATCACTCCCGCCCGCATGCCTTCTCCTGCCGAAGAAAAAGGTAGGCTCCGCAAGTGACGGAAGGGTAATTTGGTAGACCGAAGAAGGTATGGAGAAAGAGCTACCCGAGATCATCTTACTCACCTTACCTTTTCACACGCATGCCGCAACACATGTTGAATCTGCGGCGGATTCCTATAACCGCCGAAGCAAACAAACCAGAGTCACCGCGGAAACTCCCAGACCTCTCGCTCGTGCAGCGTTTGCAAGCCATAGCCCAATCAGCAGAGATCACTCCATCAGCAGCAAATGATCAGAAAATACAAGGGTGACGAGAATACGGTTCGTGAAGGCATTGGAAGAGTCGACAGTATCCGAGCGGAAGAAGCTGATGAGATTTTTCGGTCACGTGCGGTCCTCCAGCGTGCGGTCCTCCAGCGAGGATCGGCGCGGTGAAACGTGTGCCCGAATGGCATATCCCAAATTTCATTCCCTCTCCCGTCTGCGCTCTGCTTTGTATAGGTACATTCATCCTCCGTCTTCCTTCATCATCTCATCGGCCCACGCCAACCAATTCATGGGGGTTTCTCATCCCCGCTACGTATGTTGTCCCACACGTCCCTCGACTAAATCTCGGAAGACGCGGTGCTGCTTCGATAATGCATCCTAGACTCCAATTGATCGACTGATCTCGGACCTCTGAATCGCGACCTACCATCAGTTCCGACAGCGTTCAATTTGTTTTCAAAGTCATGATTGCGCTTTTGTTTCAGCCGGACTTCAGGGAAACAAGCCATCTTTGATGATGTTTCTCAATCTTCCTGTGGTCACTCGGCCCGTCTTCCTTACCCCTCAATATTGGGCATCGAAAGCGAAGAACTCCACCTCTCCAAAGTTATGCATCTCCACGAGACTAAGGTCCCTACCTTTAGATCGTCAATTCTTCGGTCTCTTGATTCTTTTGAGTCAGTCGTTTGCTCACACCCATTGAATGGCGTTCTTCCATTAGTCAAGCTGTCTTGTCTTCCACGGTTCCTTATGACCGTTTAATATTCCTTTTCGAGATGTCCGAAAAAGCGCCTAGAGAAGCCATCTCTGAGTACCTAGCGCTTCTTACAAACTATTTCTCTGGTGTATGCCAAATCGCCCCCGGTAAGGGTCGTGTTTCGATGGACTCGCAAGTGGACAGCTCATTGCATAATAGGGAACGGGCTGGCCTATACGGGTTTGTCGGGGGACGTGCACTCGATTTCGCAGACATAGCTCCCGGAATTAATTCAATATAGCACCACAACAACCTTACGGATTACTATGAAAATTGATAGGCAGATAGAAAAAGAGCATGCGAAGAGCTAGGATCAATTTTTGGGCTCACGAAATCGAACGGGGAGGCGAATGATCCTCCGAGGACGGTTTCCCGCAGGACCTCCCTCATCTCGACTATTTTCAACACTAATATCCTCACAGGCCTCCAGAGCTTCTGCAACCAGGCTATCTCCCTTGCGATTACGCG